TTACCCCATGTGAAAAATTAATTTTGTGATCTTAACACTTTCTAACAAGTAGAATTGTGTTAGTTACTGAAGTCCCAAGTTTTGCTTACTTTCTAAACTCTCTTAGGCTAAAGTTTTTTGACTCTTTAATGTGAACAAGGTGTATTAAATTTCTCATTGCTAAGATATCTTTAAAACTAACACTTAAATCCAGAACTGATGCCCTGAAAGTGTTTTATACCAAAACAGTTTGTGAAACGCTGTGGGTTTGCAATTAAGGAAGTGATGTTTTAGGAAATGAATGTTGTAAAAAAAGAAGGTATCAGTAATTTTTAAAGTTGTGGATTATTAGGGGCAACCTCAACTTAAGTCATTTGTATTTGAATGTATTTAATTTTTTTTTATCGCCTTTATTTTTGAAAAAATCTCTCCCCATTCCTCTACGAAGTCCTTTGTAGCAAAACAAAAATAGACAAACACAGCAAATACTGACACCCCAGAGTTTGACTGTATATTTTAAAGAACCTCAAGTCCAACTTATTTTGCAAATAAGGAAATTGAGGTACAGAGAGGCTAGATGAGTTGCCCAGAGTATATACATAGGTAGTAAGTTGTAGATGTGATTTGAACTTAGATCCTCTTGAGATGTATTGCAGACTACTCCCACCAGTACCCTGTTTTCTTTTTTCTAAACTCACATTTACATTTGTTTTGGACTTGAAGACCCAATAAGACAAGCATTTCAATACTCATAGAGTAGAACAAAAGAAATTGAACAGTACATGTGAAACTGCAAAGCTGTCATGTGGATTTTTTTTAAAAGTATGTAATAAATTCAACGTGTGGTTGTGTTTGTGATTCCATTCTTTTATGTGCATTTGAAAAACAATGCTTCAATGACCCTCTTTCTTTTTTTCTTTCTTAGTATTTGAATTTCATGAAACCAACTGAGAGCTGTGAGGCTGCAGGGTTTTTTTTGGGGGTGGGGCAAAGTGGGGAGACAGAATTTTCTGCTTTGAGACAAACCCGTTTTGGAGAATTCATTAATGGGGTTTTATGTCCTATGGAGAAGTGTTACCTGAGCCTTAATTATTTTCTTTTTCTACCTAGAGAAAGGATGCAAGGGATATGAGGAAGTAGGAAACCTTACCAGTGTAAGCAGGCTAAGGATTAAGGACCATTTGATTAGTTTACTCTAGGAGGTGAACAGATTACTTGCGTCTAATAAGGAAATGACTCAAGTCAGTTGTGATGCCCAACAATCCTGAAATCCTGTAGCCAAGTTCATATGCCCTTCCTTAGACTCAGCTAGGTGGTATAGTGAATAGAGCACTCAGCCTGGAGTCAGGAAGAGCTGAGTTCAGATTTGACCTCATTTACTTATTAAATATGTGACCATGGGCAAGTCTGTCAAACTCAGTTTTCATCTGTAAAATGGGGATAATAGCACCTACCTCTCAGGGTTGGTAATAATTGTAAAGCACTTAAGTACAGTGCCTAGAAGGGCATAAGTCCTATATCACTGGTAGTTATTATTGTCGTTGACCCCACAATCAGTTTTAGATTGAATTAGACCATTATCTTGGGGATAATATTGGAAGTAAAGTAAATTCTTAGAATAATGAAAGGATTTGCTGGCAAGGTATCAAGTCATAGCTGGATAATTCTTTAAAAGCCAGAATTATCAGTTTATGAATGAAAACTGTCTTGAAGTTCATAATTCTTGCATCTGAATCACTGCTGTGACGGAAACTTTGGTAGACTGGACAAAGTGACCAAGAAACTGATTGCAGTTACTCTACATTCACCTTCTGTTCTTTGAAGAGGTGACTAAACCTTTTAAGCGAATTGGCAATTGTGAACATTTTTGAGCAGATTCTGGGAACCTGGGTTGGAACCCAGCTTTGGCTGTTCTTTACCTTTGTGACCTTGGGCAAATCACTTTTATCTTTTCTGGGCCTCAGCTTCCTTATATGGTAATGCCTGTGTTGGATTAGATGACCTGTGGTCCTTTGTAACTCTAAATCTGTGATGTTATTTTAAGATACATTATTTAGAGAGATCCATATTTTATACTCCTGCTGAGGCCAGTTTCTACTATTTTTTTTTTTGTTTGTTTGTTTTGAACCTGGAACCCCATGCATATAAACAAGTCTTTGGTAAATTATAGTATTATTTTCCCGGGAAGCACTTAGAGGTTAGAATACTTAGGCACAATTAGTATATATCAGGAGCCTGATTTAAAGTTTAGGGTTTCTTAATAAATTACTTTTAGGGGATAGATTTATTTCATATGTATGTAGTAGAGACCATATCTGCATGTCGGGGATCACGTTATTAAAATGCCCCACACATTGTTGTTTGTAGGGAATTACACAACATGAATGGCATGTAAATACTCAACAGTAATTTCAGTAAATTTTCTAGGCTGAGTGCTTTGGTAGGCAATCAGGTAGGTAGGTTTTGGTAGAAACGTGAAATCTTGCCAGTTGTACAAAGAGAGACTCAGTTATAATGAGGCATTATGAATTAAGGTAGATCATACCGTGCTATTTTTAGCCCTGTTCAAGATAAAAAGAAATTATGTTGGCAAATGAACAGGCAGAATTAATGAGTTGTTAATGTTATGTGAAGATTGAAATATGTATTTAAAGGGTCATATTAGATTAGGCTGATACTTCAAAGATACTCTAAGTTCTCACCAGATTGGTTGCTGACATTTTCCCTATAATAGGGCAGAGGACAACTCTATGTATATGAACTAAAAACTTGCTAATGTTATGACTCCTTTTTAAGATAGCCTTATTGTGTCCATGAACTTGAATTGGGAGTGTACTGTCCATGATTTTAAGTTGAAGAATGTCATAATGCAATGATTCGTGAACTTTTGGGGCTCAGACTCCTTTACACTCTTAAAAAGATTTTAAAAAGGTGGGTTATGTCTACTGATATATGTCACATTAGAAATAAAAACTGCTGATTGCAACTTTGACTTATTTTCTTTGTTTTGAACCTGGAACCCCATGCAGATAAACAAGTCTTCTGTAAATTACAGTATTATTTTTCCAGGGAGTGCTTATAGAGATTTGAAGCCATAACTAGGATTGCACAATTATTATATGTCAGAAGCCTGATTTAAATTTCAGTGTGTCTTAATAAATTACTATGATTTAGGGGCAGGTTATTTCACATGTATGCAATAGATACCACATCTGCATGTTGGCAATCAATTAGAAGTTAAAATTGACAAATTAAAAAAAAATTAATTTAAAAGTAACAAACCCATTACATGTTAACATAAATGACATTTTTTCATGAAAACTTTTTTCCTGAAACAAATCTAGTGAAGAATGGCATTATTTTATATATTTCTGCAAATCTCTTTAATGTCTGGCTTAATAGAAGACCACTGGATTCTCATCAGTCTGGTTGAAGTATATGAAGATTTGGCCTAACACATGCTGTTGGAAAAGGGAAGAACTTTATAATAGGAAAATAACAACATCTTGGTATTATGAAAGTAGTTTTAATCTCTCAGACCCCCTGAAAGCTGCTCAGAGACCTTCAGGGGTCTTCAGACCACATTTTGAGAACCAGTGGTATAATTGCCTCTGACACTGTTAGAGTTTTCTCCTGTAAAACGGGGATAACAACTGTAGGAACTGCCTTACTGGATTATTGTGAAAATTGAAGAAAGTGATTTTTATGTGAAGTGCTTTGTAAACATTGGAACAGAATGTGTCAGCTGCTATCAAAATAATTTTCTGGTGTAGAGTGATAGTTTAGGTTCTAACCCCAAAAGAAATGTTATATGGTAATGTTGAGTTGTTAGTTTTCAAGTCCAGTGAAGGTGGAAGAAACCAGAATAGGTTGCATTTGGCAAATTCTATCACCAAATGATCTCCTAATGATTTTATGAGAGTCCACAGTTCCTTGAGTTAATTACAAATAAATTGGCAGTAGCATATAACTGAGCTATATGTGAGAATTGGCATTAAAAATCTTATACTGGGGGGCAGCTAGGTGGCTCAGTGGATAGAGCACCAGCCCTGGAGTCAGGAGGACCTGAGTTCAACTGCGGCCTCGGACCAAACACTTGACGCTTACTAGCTGTGTGACCCTGGGCAAGTCATTTAACCCCAATTACCTAAAAAAAAATCTTCTACTGGACATGTGATAAGAAAATTTAGGTAAGTGGGCTGATCGTGCTGCATGAGCCCACAGATGAAGTATACCTGGAAAAGGGCTTCCAGCCTGTTGGTTAGGAGCTTTATAAGGAGAACAAAGCTTAAAGATCCCACAGGATGAACTGACATCTTTGTCAGGAAATTCTTCATTTATCTACTGAAGTTGTGTGGGAGGGGAGCAGTAGTAACTTGTATTTGTACAGTATATACAAATCACTTTTATAACCATTATCTCCCTTTGATCCTTTCCCTCATGTGATGAAACCACATACTAATCTTAAGTCACCTAATGAGGAGACTGGATTCAGATCTCCAGCCATTACAATTTAAAATTAACTCAGGGTCACTCGTCTAGTAAATGGACTTCAGCTTCAAGACTGTTAGGCCTTGAATTTGCAAATTTTTAAGTACTGTGTAAATATGTTATTTCCACTCAGACTGCTCTTAGTGTTTTAAATGCATGTGTTCACCATTAAATTGCTTGGATTTATGTGCATGTGTACACAACATGGGTATAAAATACTATAGAAGCAAGTGAACACAACATGCATATAAAATACTAGAAGCAATCTGGATAGAAATAACACATTTGCATGCAGGTCCAAAGCCTGTGAGTTACCCTTAAAAAACAGAGATAGTAAAGTGGAATTCATTCACTGTCCATGTCCAAAAATATATCCCATTTTGTACCTTGAGTATCTCTGTCAGGGCAGCATGCTTCATCTGGTCCCTGGAATGGTGGTTGGTTGATCCAGATTTCTTTAGTGTTTTCAAAGTTGTTTGTTTTTATAATGTTTTTCTCCTGGTTCTTTGCTCACTTCATTCATCCTTAGTTCTTACAGGTCTTCTCAGGTTTCTCAGAAACCATTCCTGTCATTAATGGTGGTAAATTCAAATAGAAGCCCCAGCCACCAAATTGTACATGAGAATCCCTGCAGGCACATTAACTTAGAAAACCACATATTAATATTATCTGTGTTCTATTGTGTCTTACTTATTTTGTTAAATATTACCCACTTAGATTTTAGTCTGATTTAGGGGCACTGTACTTCATTTATCATAGCACAGTAGTGCTCCATTATATTTATGTATCTTAAGTTTGGCCGTTCCCCAATCGATGGACACCCCCTTAATTTATAGTTCTTTGCCATTATAAAAAGAGTTGCTATAAATGTTATGTATAGTTGCTTTTCCTCTTTCTTTGATCTCTTTGAGGTGTAGGCACGTTTTATCATTTCTTACAAAGCAATTATATTACACTTGTTGTGAAACAATTTATTGAACTATTGTCCAATTAATGGCCATTTACTTTGTTTCCAGTTCTTTGTTACCTCAAAAAGTGCTGTTATAAATATTTTAGTGTCTGAGTATTGTCATCAGCCTTCCTGTTATATATGCCTAATGATGAGATTTCTGAGTCAAAGATATGGACACTATATAACCATTCTCTTTGCATAATTCCATATTGCTTTTCAGAATGGTTGGCCCAGTTCACAGCTGTACCAGCAGTGCATTAGTGTACCAGATTTTATGTTGATTATTCTTATCTTTTGTCATCTTGACCAATTTGCTGGTTGTGAGGCAAAATCTTACTATTGATCTGGAGCATACTTTGACATAGTTGCTAATAGCTGGCAGTTTTTAAAAATGAATTGTTCATGTCCTTTGACTTGAGATGCTCATAATTTAAATTTAATCAGCTCTGTACTTTCATGGCTTATGAAACACTTAAATCCTTGAATTTCAAAAGCAAAACTTATTTGTACCACATCCATAGCTCTTACATAATAATGTTTTACGCTAAATCATTCTTCAGTCAACTTAATTGTCTCCTTGCTGGTTTTAGTTTTGATTCAAATGAGTCACTTTGTCTGGTACAGTTTATTTTTAAGTAAACAAAGATCTATAACTATGAATTTCTTTTTTACTTCAACCAAAATTTCCTTTTTTTAAAGCTATATTTTTCATTCAGGTTTTCCTCCTCATTTTAGTTACTCTTGACATTTTTTTTTTCCTTTTGCTTTTCACTGTTTCTTTGTCTATAGTTTGGGTTTTCTTGGACTTTTTCATTTAGGAACAGTATCCTTTGCTCTTTGCTTGGAAAGTTAGATATTTTCTTTCCCCTATCTTAGCTTAGTAGATGGGGAAAATTTAATTACTGTTCCTGCCTCTCCTCTCCCTTTATTTAAAAACAAAAATAAAAACAAACCTGTGTTTTGGCTACCATTTAACCAACAACAGTCATGAAGAAGGAAGTCTGTCAGACAGACCTGGATAAGCATAAGAGCTGGACTTGGAGAGTAAGGAAGACCTGAATCTCAGACACTTTAGTAGCTTGTGGAAACTTGGGCAAGTCCTTTAACCTCTGTCTGCCTCAGTTTCTTCATCTGTAAAATAGGAGCAATAATAGCACCTACCTCCCTGGTTTGTTGTGAGGATCAAATGAGATAATAATTGTGAAGTGCTTATCATAAAGCCTGGCACATAGTTAACACTTGATTAAATGCTTGCTGACTTGATCAGGTCACCAGCTCATAAGTGTGAGGCAGGATTTGAACCCAAGTCTTTTACTACAAGTCTAGTGCTCTGTTTGCTATGCCATGTTGCCTCCCTGCTTGTGTGTGGCTGAACGGAGCTGGAGGAAGTCATGAAGCTATGATTGCTTCCTTTATATGCTGTCTACTTTCAACTAGCCAAAATTCTCTTTCCTAATTAATACTCACCACAGCAGCAATTCCAAACTTCTTTCAGCCTCTCAGGCCACCACCTCCTTACTTACTTACTTACACACACACACACACACACCCACACACACACACACACACACACACACACACACACACACACACACACACACACACACCTTCCACTCCAATCTCTGAATGCTTGTCGAATGCTTGTCCTTGCCAAATCCAGCTCTCTGTTTACCTGTGATCTTTTCTCCTTTTATTCAGCTGTTGTCTAATTTTCTTTCACTTCCGATTCACTGGTTCTTTCCCTCCCCCCATCCTTAAAATAAAACAAAACAAACCTCTTACTACATTCTACCATTTCCATTAGGTGTTGTTCTCCAACATTTTTTTTCTCCCCATCTCTTCCACATTTCTTTATTTGTAAATTTTTTTTATTTTAAACTTAAATACAAAATAAGAAAAAAGAAAGTTATACTAAAACTAAAATAATACAAAATAAGAAAGAACATTTCCATATGCACAGCAGAACATGACAGAGGATTCAGAATATACAGCAGTAACTTTCCATTTTAAGAAAACCTATATAATAAATACTACACGTTGTGTTGAGCTAGCCATCTTTTTTTTTTTTTTTGCTTCCTTCTAAGTTTTCTCTTGTTCTATGCTGTGCCCAAATTTCTTGAAAAAGGTGTTTATACTTGGGGACCATGCTGCTCTTCTCACCCCCTCCTAATAATCTTCCTGCTGTTTGGCTTCTGACCCGAAAACTGTAATAAAGCTATTTTCTCTAGAACCTCCTAATTGCTAAGTCAAGTGTTTTTTTCTCAGTCTCCATCCTCTTTTGACTCTGCAGCATTTGGTGCTATCAACTACTTCCTGGGTGCTTTTTCTCTTTTCTGGGTTTTTGTGATACTGCAGATTCTCCTCTTTACCTACCTGGTGGTTATTTTGTGGTATTCTCTTCTGGATCTTCATCTTTGTGATAATGCCCACTTAACTGTAATTATTCCTTAATATTCCCAGCTCTCCTGGGCCTTCTTTAGTACTGACTCTTTTGATCTCAGTGAGCCCCTAGCCTCCATCCTGAACTCCAGTCTTCATCAACAACTACCTAGTGAACGTTTTCATAGGATGTCTTGATGGCACCTCAAACCTGGCATGGCCAAAGCAGTGTACCAACTCATGCTCCCCTTTGAAATATCTCTTATTATTGAAGTCATGGTAGTTTTGCTTTCAAGTATATGAAGGGCCCATATGTAGAAAGGAAGAGAAGAGGAAGTGAATAAGCATTTATGTAGCTCCTACTGTGGGCCAGACACTGTGCTAAGCGCTTTAAAACTTTTATCTCGTTTTATCCTCATAGTAGCCCTGAAAAGTAAGTGCTGTTACTATCCTTGATTTACAGTTGAGAAAGCTGAGGCAAACAGAGGTTCAGGGAATTGCCCCATTTCACACACCTAGGAAGTGTCTGATACACGATGTGAATTCAGGTCTTTCTGACTCCAGGACCTGTGTACTATCCACAAAGCCACCCAGCTGCCATGTAGAAGAAGGATTTTACTCATTCTGCTTTGTCCAGAGGACAGAACCAAATGTAGAATTTCATAAGGAAGGAATAATGAAAATGATAATACTAGCTAACATTTATACCTATAGTGCTTAGCAATGTACCAGGCAAAGAGGCTGATTTCAGCTCAATATAAGGAAATTAGTGACCACCTTAAGTAGTAAGTTCGCCATTATTAGAACCAGGAAGGTGGTTCCTGTCTAGGTAAGCTATGTATGGTAGGCAAGTAGTGGAGTAGCTGGCATCAGGAGGATCTGAGTTTGAATCCTGCCTCAGATACTTTAGAAAAATTAATTTATTTTTAGTTTTCAACATTCACTTTTATAAGATTTTCAGTTATAAAATTTCCCCCTCCCTTCCCTTCCCCTTCCTCAAGATGGGATGCAGTCTGGTATAGGCTATATATGAAGAATCATATTAAATATATTTCCACATTAGTCATGTTGTAAAAGAAGAATCAGAACAAAAGGGAAAAACCATGAGAAAGAAAAAGCAAAAAAAAAAAAAAGAAAATAGATCTTATGCTTCGATCTGCATTTAGACTCCATAGTTCTTTCTCTGGATGTGGATAGCATTTTCCATCATGAGTCTTATGGAATTGTCTTAGATCATTGAATTGCTGAGAATGGCTAAGTCTGTCAAAGTTAAGTCATTTGACAATGCTGCTATTACTATGTACAATGTTCTCCTGATTCTGCTTACTTCACTCAGCGTCAGTTCATATAAGTCAGATAGTTCTTAGCTGTGGGATGCTGGGCAAGTAACTGAACTTCTACCATCTCAATTTCCTCATCTGTAAAATGGGGCCCCATGAGACAGTATTTGTAAAATGCTTTGTAAATCTTAAATCCATGTAAATGGTAGCTATTGTTGTTGTTACTATCGTTATTATGGACTTTATATATTCTCTGTGGTCATAAGACCATAGATTTAAAACTGAAAGGGACCTTGGAGGTCATCTGGTCTAATCATTCTTAACCTTTTTTGTGTCATAGACCACTTTGGTAGTCAGGTGAAGCCACCTCAGAATGTTTTCCTAAAACTCGTAATTGAAAGAAATGCTAAATTTCACTTAAATGTTAGTGAAACTATAGATTTTTTTTCCTTACCAAGTTCACAGACTCCTTGAAATCTCTTTATGGATGCCAGGTGTAGAATCTCTGATCTAGTACTACCATTTCTTTTCACAGTCTAGGAAAATGAGACTCAAGACTCAGAAAATGATCTTGGATAAGTCTTACAGAGAGCTCTAAAATAGCAGTGTGAGGATTTGAATGCAGTGTCTTTGCTATTATTGTACTTACCTGTTTGTTCCAACTCCAAGACTCTTTTGTTCTGTTACTTAGAGTGTATAGTAAAGGTAACCTGGGTAATAGAATCTGTTGAAATGAGTCCTTAAAGGTTCTTCTTGTCTTGCCCTACCTGAATGTCATTCAGGACATTTCAGTTGAGTCATTTCCACAAGAATGATCTTTGGACTCTGACCCCTTCAGGATGTTAAGTCAGCCTGAGAATAAACACCGGGAAATTCATTGTCTCAATGGAATGGCAAGCCTTCAGTGTAGAGGTCAGCATCCTGAGTGTGACTCTGAGGTTGAAATGAGGAGGGCCACTTTATCACTTTCCACTTACCTCCAGCTTATGCCTTGAACATCTTTAGGAGACTGGTCTCTGCATCAGTTAAGAACCAGTAGAATACTCTGTCCCTTGGTCCATCTATCTAGAATGCTATCTTCCCCTACAAACGCTATTCTTTAAAAACAAAAACAAACCAAAGCATCTTATTTTTCCATTAAAAAATCCTTTCCCTTCCTTCTCCCAATTGAGGGTAAAACAGCAACAACAAAAAGATTGTTACAAATATGTATAGTCAGGTCCAGAAAGAAAAACGTCTCCCATCTATCTTCTGGAGTTCATCTCCTCTTTATCAAAAGGTGAGTACCATGTTTCATCAGGAGTTCTCTGGGATCATGGTTTCAGAGTTTAAACACTACTCTTTATGTCTGTTAATGGTACCAGCTCCACCTTCCACCTCCTACCCTTATCCCTCATCTAGCTGTTGTTTGTTTGGGACTTCAAGGTCACATTACAAAGAATACTGACCTGAACACATGGATATTAGTCCCACTATGTTTGAGATTTGGTTTTTTTTTTTTAAGGCAATTGGGGTTAAGTGACTTGGCCCAGAGTCACACAGCTAGTGTCAAGTGTTTGGCCTGAGGCCGGGTTTGAACTCAGGTCCTCCTGACTTCAGGGCCGGTGCAGTGTGCCACCTAGCTGCCCCGAGATTTTTTTCCTTTAATTTCTATTAAGATGAGCCTCCACGAAAACTCAGCTGTATTTACCTGATAGTGGGTAATCTCTAACCATTTTTATATTTCTGATCAAGATATCCATCACGTGTTGAGTTTTTCAGACCCTCAGAATTCTTCTGAATTGTGTGCTTTGACTTAAGAGGCAATTAGGAAGAGAAGACCATTTAATTTTGGTTTGTGCCTTGGAAGGAATTCTGCTGTTAATGTTGTCATGAACATATTTTTAAGTTCAAAAGTCACTTACAACTATTAAAGGGCTGCAGATTAACTTCTTCCTATGAAATCCTTCGCACGAATAAAGTGATAAAAACTTTATAAGAAGAATAGAACTGGGTTTTTAAAAATTCTTTTAGAGTCTTGGGTATCTTTCCACCACCATGATAATATTTGTACTTTGTCCTGGTACTTGGTTAGAAATTCCTTCATCCTTTGCCAGTTGCAGTCATAATTCCATGCAGTCTTTGGTCTTTAGAATAAGCACAACACTTTCAGGTGGCTTTGGGAGTTGTTTTTTTTTTAAAGTGGTTAGCTTTCTTACCTGCCATACCTTTTGAATACTAGATATGTTTCTAAATGTAGCTTACATGATTTAATGCAGTTTAAATGATTCAAATGATTCTTTTTTTTTCCCTCTTCCCTTTTACTTTCAAGCATCGGTGGTGATTTTATATAGTTAGTTGTAGTGATATGCAGCCTGGAAATGTGAAACCTTCTGAGTCCTGAGGACAGTTTAAGGGAAATTTGGGAGAAAAGTGAGTCATTTCTTGATTCTTCAGAGAATAAATCTATGCTTTCAGTACCACAAACATTTATTAAGGCATTTCCTCATTGAAGTTGGGGTACAAATATGGGAAACATATCTCGGTTTGAAAAGAGCTTTTTATATTCTACTGAGAGGATGTAACATGCATGCAAATTTTCAGCAGGATAGGGCATTAACCACTAGGGATATCGGGGAAGGCCTCATGTAGGAGGTGGCCTCCCTAGAACTGTGTTTTACTGGGAAGTTAGGTAGTTAGAGGGGAATATGTTTTAGGCTTGTGCAAAGCTGGTACTTTTTTTTTTTAAAGAAAACTGGCACATTTTAATTAGCCACACTTCTTTAAGAAAAATACAAGTGCTTTAGCACTATAACAGATGTTCTTATGAGTATTTTCCCCTACAGTATGTGACATCAGAGGGTATAATATTTGCAGTTTTTCTACTTCTATGGCATTTTAATTAAAAAAACCCTGTATTTACCATTCCTAACTGACAAGGAATTTGGGGAAAATTCAAGGGCAAAAATGTTATTTAGGGGGAAAACATTGTATAAGTTTACAGAATTGTTATCTACTTTTAATTTTATTTTTGCAAATAGCAAGAGGTTAGTGGTGGTGCTCACCTTTTATATCATAAAAACACCCTGAAATGGGTACTTTTAGAATGGGATAGTTAGAAAACAGTCTGAACCACAAAGAAACACACCATCACCCTGTACATACATAATTTGCAAAGCTGGTACTTTTAAAGTTGGGATATCACTGCTATTGCTACATAAGAACCAGCTAGCACTCGCTACCTGGTGGCTTGGCTTTTTCCTTGTGGTTGTGATTTGTCCTTTGTTCTCAAAGAGGACCATCACACCTGGGAGATGATGACATGGCTTGCAATTGAATTTGAGTGAGGCAGGGCTGTGCAGTAACCAGGCTCACTTTCTCCTCCAGAGCCATCTGGGTCCATTGTCCAGATATTGATCAGGATGATTGGAGATGGCCCAGGATGCAGTGGGAGACCTTGGTCCTTTTAAGCTAAGATCTTTTCAAGTTCTCACTTTGAGTGAGGCAACGCCCATTCAGTGAATAGGCCTCTTTAAGAAGTGAGTCAAGGGATGGCCCCTTTAATAATAAAAAAAAAAATCAAACTGAAAAGGGAAGACCCTCAGGGTTGCTGGCCAAAAGAGAAACAGTTACTATTTACATTCACTCTGGATGACTGGAGATGGCCCAGGGCTTTTTCCTTCAAACTCGTTGGAAATCCCTGTATTGAGTACCTACATATGGAGCAGCTAGGTGGTGCAGTGGTTAGAGCTGTGGCCCTGAAGTCAGGAGGACCACATCTAGCCTCAGACACTAGTATGGCCTTGGGCAAGTCATTTAACCCTGATTGCCTCAAAGCAAAGGAAAGAAATAGAGTATTTATGTGTACCTGGGCTTAGCCATTGGGAAAATTTAAAAAAAAATGTAAGACACAGTCCTCTCCTTTAAAGAACTTAAAGTGGTAAGTTCATAATACCAGATCATCAAGCAATAAGCATTTATTTAGTACCTACTATTTGCTCTGTGCTCAGTTACTGGGAGATACAAAGGAAAACAACTGTCTCTGCCTTCAAAGAGCTCACACTCTTAGACAAATGCAGTAACTACAAGAGTGTTACTGCTATGTTAGAGGTAGGAGGGAAAAAGTAGTGAGAGGTCCGAGGTGGAGGAGGGAAGTTCCAGGAGACTATTACCTTTGGTCCCAGGATTTTCACTTTTCCATTAAGTGTCTAAACCTTCATTGACTTCTGACTCCCAGCCTGAGTCACCCCCTCAGGGATGTTCTGAAAGGATCTTGGGGAACCTCCCTCTGATGTTTGTTGTCCATACTTTGAAAAGCTTTGTTCTTGTCATTCTCTGTCTCCATTCAAAAATAAGTTCCTATGCATAGAATATTACTCTTAGACACTGAGGTAGGACAAAGTTTGGTTAAGCTACAGTTCTTGCTCCTGTGAAATTTGCTGCCTAAGGAGATAAAGACTACCACATACCATGTTTTGACAATTATAATTAGATGTACTTGAAGGGCTATAAAACAAAATACCTTGTGAATTCTAAGGTGGGAACAGTCCATGTTGGGTGGATGATGCAGTGATAGGCACACTAGTGTGTTGTTGGTAGAGGGACAAGAAGAATAATCAGTACAACCACTTTGGAAAGCAATTTGGAATTACTTTCTCCTAGAGCCATCTGGGTCCATTGGCCAGATATTGATCAGGATGATTGGAGATGGCCCAGGATAAAATGATTTTAATCTATCCATATCCTGACCCAGAGAGTCTGTTACTAGACTAATATCCCAAGGAGGTCATTGATAAGAAAGTCCCCACAGGTACCAAAATATTTGTAGCAGTGCTTATCACATATCTGTTGTTTATAACATCTTGGATACCAACCCGTTATCTGAGAAATTTGATCAAAAGATAATGTTCCCATTTAACTACTTCTTGTCTTATACTGGGTGCATTAATTTTGTTTGTGCAGAAGTTCTTCAGTTTCATGTAATTAAAATTTTAAAAATGTAAAAAAAAAAAAAGAAAAATAAATCTCCAACCCATAGTTATGAAAGGTAAATTTATCTTCTAATTTTTTAATGGTATGGTATGTCTTTAATATTTTGGTCACATATCCAGTTAGACGTCTTTGTGTAATATGGCAAACGTGTTGGTCTCTGCCAAAGTATAATTTCTTCCAGGCCTCTTTCCAGTTTTCCCCAACAATTTTTTTTTAATCAAACAGGTAATTCTTTTCTCAATAATTTGTTTTCTGGTTTGTTGAACACTAGGTTATTGGGTTCCATTGTTTTTTATTTTCCTTGCCTAGTTTATTCCATTGGTCTCTAGATAGTTTTGGTGCCAAATACTTTTGGTGACTATTGCTTTTATAATATAGTTTAAGGTCTGAAAGTGCTCATTCTTCCCCCTTCAATTCTTCTGCTTGATTGTTTCATTTGATATTATAGATATTTTATTTCTCCAAATGAATTGTTATTCTGTAGAATTGGTACAGTATTAAAAGTAAATTAATTTTTATACTACTGTCGTTTAATGAAAATTGATAATATTGTATTGACAACATTATTATATTGAATTATAGTATAGCCACGAACACTAAATATTCCTCTAGCAATTTTTTTGTTGTTGTCATTTCAGTTGTGTTTGACTTTTCCTGACCCCATTTGGGGTTTTCTTGGCAGAGATCCTGAAGTGGTTTAGCATTTCCTTCTTCAGCTCATTTTACAGAAGAGGAAACTGAGGCAAGCAGGTTAAGTGACTTGCCCATGGTCACACAGGTAGTAAGTATCTGAGCCTGTTTTTGAACAGAGGTCCTCCTGACTCCAGGGCCAGTGCTTTCTCCACGGTTTCACCTACCTGCCC